AAGTAGTTGAAACAACAAAAGTTCTAACAAGACTTAGGTGGAGCTGAGGAAAAAAGAGAGATCCCTTTAGGTTTTGGTTCTGTTCTGGGCTCTATGGAAAATGAGTAGAAGTTTAGAATGGTTCTTGTGTTTCTTGAAGTCCTCTGTTTCCCAGCCTAAAACATCAGGGCAGACCAGAGATTTGGAGCTGAAACCCAGTCAGTGTTAAAGAATGTGGATCTGTTTGAAGAGTCATTTAGGTGGAAACTGGATGGGAAAGAGGCTCAGAAGGTAGACGCTACAGTCTCTCAATGCTAATACTTCAAGAGATACAAAAAATATTTCCCTTTTGTGTTTTCTTTTGGTGGTACTGGGGTTTGGATTCAGGGCCTCATGCTTGCTAGGCAGGTATTCCCACTTGAGCCACTCCACTAGGCCTTTTTTGTGTTGGGTAATTTTGAGATGGGGGTTTTGCTTTTTGCCTAGACTGGCCTTGAACCATGATCATCCTGATCTCTGCCTCCTGAGTAGCTAGGATTACAGGTGTGACCCACTGACACCAGACCCCTTCAAGTCTTTCAAGCATCTTTTGACTCTTACAGGCCTTATTTGCATATGAATGTCATCGTGTCCTCACTTGAGGTCAGCATATTAGACCTCTTCATTTTATAGATTTTAAAGAAGTTTGGGAAATTAAATGAATTGCTGGGGAATGAGCAGCAAAGTCTTAAATAGTCAATCTGGTGCTTCCTCTCTGGAGGATAATGTTCCAATGGTACTGAACCAGAACAGGCTGCTTCAGTGCCCCAAGTAAAGTTCCTCACAGAAAAAAATGAGTCTAGACCACATCTGGTCTAGTCCTAAAACTGAGTTTCCCACCAACTCTAAGGTGAGTCTACCCAATTCCTGAAAAATAGATTGTTACATAACAAAACAAAGATCCAGGCCCATAAACCATACTCTACAGGTCAAATAAACTCAATAATAATTTACATATTATAATTCTGTGACCCCATCATGGCTTCATGTGCCCTGTAGGCTAAATCTATGGATAGGAATTTCTCATGGGCAATCTCAATACTCAAACCTCAAAGGCTAACATTGTCTTCTTACCCTAGAGACACCTACTTTCAGTCTATTGAAAGTGTATTCCTTTCCAAATAAACTTTGCTTTCATTAACTTTCATTAGCTTCTATATCTCTTGCCTGAATTCTTCTCTTCTTGCATGCATGAATTCAGATAGCTATCCTGGTATACCAGTACTATCTCAGAGACAATGAAACAATCCTGTACAGAGCACCTCTAGATGACCAGAGTGTAGCAGCTGCAAAGAGGGTGTCTGTAGTCTGATTTCTTGCACTAATCTAGTCACTAAAATAATCTTGTGCACAGTGGCAGAGGCAAGAAAATATGGCAGTCTAGTGATCAGTTGGTGATTAATATGACTGCAAAGTATGATACATGTAGTTCACTTGGGCTGAATAAACATTTGCTGAATGTTAATGATGTGTGGAGATTGATGAGAGCTCATAATTCTTAGTCATAAATGACTAGTGCAGTAGTTTTCAAGCTTGGCTCCACTTGAGAATCCTAGCAGCTTTAAAAGCAAAGAAAAAGAAACTAGAACAAAAATGATGCCTGGGGCCCCACCCTGGGGATTCAGACTTAATTGGTATGGGGTAGGATGTGGGCTTCAGTATCTCTTTAAAAACTTTAATCAGAGGTCAGAAATTTATGTGGTTATCAGTAGACAGTTCTGAATGAAGGCTAACTGGGATTTTAGGCAAAAGAAAGCTATTACAGGTTTCTGAGCAAGCAGGGATATATGAAGATGATTATAATATGCAGAATAGACTAGAATGAAGAAACACTAAAACACCCCAAACAAACCTGGTAAAAGCCTAAGGAAATAGTTTAAGTAAAATTCAATATAACTCCAAATTAGGGCTAGGGGCATAACTCAAGTGGCAGAGGCCAGAGTTCCCAGCCCAGTACCACTAAAAAAAAAAAGAAAATAAACAAACAAAAAACTCTCCCCACTCTTATTTAATACAGTACTCAAATTCCTAACCAGAGCAATAAGACAAGAGAGAGAAATAAAAGGATTCAAATAGGGAGGGAAGAAGTCAAATTATACCTATTTTCAGATTATGTGCTTTTATATTTAAAAGACCTTAAGGATTCTATGAAAAAAAAATTCCTAGATCTGATAAACATTTTTGGAAATGTAGCAGGATATAAAAACATGCAAAAATTATTAGTTTTCTATATAACATCAATGAATAGGCTGAGAAAGAAGTCAAGAAAACAATTTCATTCACAATAGCCTAAAAAGAAAAAAAACTAGGTGTAAATCTAACTAAGGAGGTGAAAGACCTCTACGATGAAAACTCAAAACCTTGAAGAAAGAAATTGAAGAAGACACCAGAAGATGGAAAGACCACTCATGCTCATGTATTGGCAGAATTAATATAAAAATGGCTACAGTATCATAAATGTTTTATAGATCCAACACAGTGCCCATCAAAATTGCAATATCATTCTTTGCAGAAATAGAAAAATCAATTCTAAAACTGACAAGAAAGAATAAAAGACCCTGAATAGCAAAAGTAATCCTGAGCAAAAAAAAGAGCAATGCTGGAGGTATCACAATACCAGACTTCAAATTATACTGCAGAGCCATAGTAACAAAACCAGCATGGTACTGGCACAAAACAGACACAAAGAAAAATGGAACAGAATAGAAGATCCAGAAATGAAATCACACAGCTACAGCAATTTGATCTTTGACAAAGAAGCCAAAAACGTATAACGGAGAAACAAATGGTGCTGGAAAACCTGGTTATCCTCGGACCCCTAGACTCCTATCTCTCACTCCATACAAAAATCAACTTCAAATGGATCAAAGATCTTAATGTAAGATCTGAAACTTTGAAACTACTACAAGAAAAACAGGGAAACCTCTGGAAGATATAGGCCTAGGTAATTTTTTGAATAGGACACCAACTGCCCAGGAAATAAGAGTAAGAACTGACAAGTGGAATTACTACATCAAATTACAAAGTTTCTGTATATCACAAGAAACAATTACTGGAATCAAAAGACAACCCATAGAATGGAAGAAAACCTTTGCCAGCTATTCAACAGATAAAAGATTATCATCCAGAATATACAAAAAAACTAGCAAAAGAAAAATAATGAAATTAATAAATGGGCAAATGAATTGAACAGACAATTCTAAGAAGAAGAAATTCAAATAGCTAATAAATACATGAAGAAATGTTCAACAACCCTATCCATAAAGTAAGTGCAAATCAAAACGGTATTAAGGTTCCATCTCACCCCATTCAGATTGGCAATCAGTAAGAAATCAAACAACAAATGCTAGGGAGGATGTGGAGGCAAAAGGAATCCTCATGTACTTTTGTTGTAACCATCATGGAAATCAGTATAAAGGCTCCTCAAAATAGACCTACTTGACTATCCCATTGTATTATTCTTGGGCATGTATCTGAAGGAGTATAAATCAAAAGACAAGAGAGATACCTGCATACTCATGGTTTATTGCAGCTCTGTTCACAACAGCTCAGCTGTGGAATCACACACACAGACACACACACACACACACACACACACACACACCATGAAAGACTTCTCAGTCACAAAGAAAAACGAAATTATGTCATTTGCAGGAAAGTGGATTGAATTAGAGATCATCATGTTGAGTGACATAAGCCAAGCTCAAAAAGCCATATACTGCATGTTCTCACTCATTTGTGGAACCTAGAGCTAAAAGTTATTATTGCTGCCATGATGATGAATGTTAAAGGGGGATGTCTGAAGGGATTAATGGAGTGGTGAGGGAGGAAAGGATATTGAGGCGGGAAGAGGATTGAAATACATTATATGTGGATGTTCGAAGATAGGATAATGAAACCCACCAAACACTGTTTGGGAAAGCGGGGAGGAGGGAGGGAATGGGAATATATTGGATAGGGTGAACGTGTATAATACTGTACACATGTACGGAATTACCACAATGAAATTCCCTTGTATTATTAATGTACACTAATTCAAAAGATAATAAAACTATTTTTTTTAAAAACTAGCTCTAAGTCAAGTATCAGCCTAGAGAATATTAGAAGGGACAGAGTTCCTGGAAGGTATAGAACCAGACAATTACAGGAGTGTCTGAGGCAAAGAGGAACACTCAGGCAGCCTCTATACCATAGCAGGGAGGACAGTTACTCTTCTTGCCCAAACCCACTTGCCCCCACATTCCAATGTATACCAAAAACTGCAGAAGAAAGAATTTCTAGTATCTTGGGAGTTAAGAACCCAAGATAAGAAAAAGAATATAGAGATTTGACTCTTGCAGGGAATAGATTTAAGGACAAAGACTGGACACAAAACTAAAATGAAGGAAAACATTCAGACTGTACCCCCTGAATTCTGATATAGAAAGATATCATTGTTCTATTTAAGGTATTTACTGTTCGGCCCTCATGTTAGGTATCACAAAGAATTATTTCTAGGCCATCTTAGAACATTAAGCTCAGCTCATGAGAAGAAAAACTAGAAAAACTAGAGCTTCATACACCTTCCTAGGTGTTACCTAAGTCAGAAAAGAATAGCCAGCATAATGTGATTAGTAGGATGGGAAACTAGGGAATGGAATCATTTACTCAGAGTATAACCTGGTACTCCAAACCAATGCTCTTCTGTCCTCAGCTAAAAGCTTGTTGGGCATAAGGAGGAAGTAAATGGGATGACCTACTTGAGATAGCACCAAAAGAAAAGAGATGACTTCATGGCCCTGGAAGACAGCAAGAGGCAGAAAACAAAAACACTGAATAATTAAAAGTGAATTGGGGCACCCCTTCTGTGTCAGTACCTCTCAAATTCCATTTCAGGGGAAACAATCACACCTTTCATTTAACTTGTTTATGTGATGCTTGATCAAATGGATCTCTCTAGAGCACAACAAAATAAGTTAATCATTATTTTATTGTAGAGGGAAAATACCTTAAAATATTTATTAAATAACATAATTCCTGATAAAAATCATTCTTCACAATCAGCTCAATGCAGTGAGCGGTCCTCACCCTTGTAATAAACTCTATTAATATGCCATAAACCAAATGAAAATCCAAAAGATTTCTAAATGGCTTCCAAATTTCTACATATATGCTATCATTTAGTCCAAAGGTAGGCAATAAACAAGTTGGCAGATAAATTAGAAGATAGCTGAGAGGAAAAAAAGGTTAATAGTTGGTGAATCTAGAAAGAAGGGTATATGGGTGTCCACTATACCATTCTTTTGACTTAATTTTTAATTGCTTTATTATAATCATGCTCTTTTCCAGATTTGCCTTAAAAATATATTCAATGATTTCTTTTCAAACCAGAAATAAAAAACCAGTTCTTTCCCAGGTGTTGCCCCCCTTCCTATTTTGTCTTAAAAAGCTTCCAAAGATTTCCAGAAAGCTAAGTCAAGGGGTGACAGTGCACTGATATGCTTTTGTAGTTCGCAGGTATATGAGTCAAACTCTCATCGAAGGTCTGTGATGGTCACTGCTCTGTCCACAACAGTCACATGACTACAACTCTGCAACAGGGAAAAAGAAAGGTGAAGTCCTGGAAAATTCTGAAGACAGTTTTTAAACCCCTTTATTTAAAATACTCATTTAAGGCCAGTGGTTCTCAGTCTGGAAGCCAGACCATGACTTAAGTGGTAGTTGCAGTAAGGGCTCTGGACTCATCACACTCACCAATCCCTATTCATAGACTGAATCAACATCTGCCCATATATCTTTGTTTATTTTTCAAATGCACAGGTACTCTAGAGTCATTTGTAAATTATATATTTATTTAAAAGAATTAGTGGCTTCACTGCAGTTTGGGTATCCTCATTATATCATTCAGATACTAAAGGTCACTTAGTATCCTTTGGGGAAATACTCACTTTTGGTACACAAAAAGGGTCATTATAACTGGAAACCTGTGTGTTGGTACCTCAGTCTTTTTTTTTTTCTCTGATTGTGCAGTCCCTATTTTAAAATCCTGGACCCCAGACATTTATAATATTCTAAAACAGACCAAACTATTTTTGAACAGATTTGTTAGAAAGTTCTTCCTCACATAATGCTGAAAACAACTTTCCATGAGGTCTTAGTTTTAGTGTTGGGAGAGGTATGAAGTCCAGTTTTTTATACATCAACAGTTCTACCACTTGAAGTCAACTCTCAGATCCTTCTTAGAGTTTCTTTTCTAAACATCCCCATTCCTTTTATGTGATAAGATTCCAAATCCCTTTTCCGTATAGCTCACTTTTCTCTGAACCCAAAAGAAATAGTAATACTATAGGCCACTATGGAGTGAAGCAACACTATTGCATCAGATCTGAAAGGTAAAGTGAAACATACTGATCTTACCATCAACTAAACTTTGTTATTCACAGAACACAACTTAGGGAAAAGCTCAGCTTCCCAGGAAGGTGATAAAATCATTATTATCTAAGTAAAATTTCAGAATCAAATTACTTAATTTGCCTACCTTACATCCTTGCACTTAAATCTTTTATTGGAATATGGGCTTAGCAACTAAAATGATTAACAAAAGTGATATTTAATAAGCCAGCTATTGTATTAGATACTTTCTGCACATTATTTTGTGTGTGTGCTGGGGATTGAACCCAAGGCTTCATGCCTGCTACATGCATGTTCCACCACTGAACTATATACCACCAGCCCCTACTTCATTTAATATTCTCAAAAAATTATGTATTATTATCATTCCTATTTAACAGATGAAAGGCCCAGGAAGGATCAGTAGCTTCGAAGACATACAGTCATTAAGTGACAGAGCTGAATCAAATCTATTTCTAACTAAGGATGTAACTCAGTGGCAGAATACTTACCTAGCATGTGCAAGGCCCTGGGGTCAATCTCCAGTACCACACACACACACACACACACACACACACACACACACACATACACACACACACAAAACAAAACTATTTTTATCCCTCACAGCTTCCCATGTACAAGTGACAAGACTAATCTTCTATGTGGGTCAGAAAGGATGATGCATCTCTTTAGCTATGACTGTCCTCCTTCTTTGCAATACAGCCCTGATTTCTTCTATATAAATACATACGCAGAATAAAGGTGGATCCTTGCTGTGTGGATGAAATCCTTTCTGTCGACAGGAAGAAATCTCCTCTAGTCCATGGTCAGTTAATTTAAAAAATCCAGTTCTGAAATAAGAAAAGGCAGGCTCAGAGTCAAAGGTGTCCCCCCATCCTTAGTATACGCGCGCACACACACACACACACACACACACACACACACACACACGACCCAGGCATGCATACTCATATACAGCAAGATAGAGGTAATTTTGAGACAGCTTTTATAGGATGATGGCTTATAGGTCTCTTTTCTAGTGAATGAATTATAGTTAAAAAGTGATTCATCACTACCACCACACTAGTTTTGCTGGGAGAATTCATAATAAACAGTAAGAGTTTATTATGAATGAAGCTATGTGTGCTGGTGCATACCTATAATCTCAGCTATACAGGAGGCAGAGGCAGGAGGAACATGAATTTGAGGTCAAACCAGGCAAAGTTAGTGTGACCCTATCTCAAAAACAAAATTAAAAAAAGAGGTGGATTCTTAGTTCAAGCAGTAGAGTGCTTGCCTAGCAAATGCAAGGCCCTGGATTCAATCCCCAAGACCTTAAGATTTGAAATGAAAAAGCAGTAACACTCTGAGATAATGTGTTTAATTTTGAAATTCTTTAATCCAATATCAAACTCTTGAAATTCCTGTCACTTAAAATAAAATAGTTCAAATTTCTTGACTTAGAAAAACAACAAAGTTGTCATTTGGAGGTTTTAAAATAGTAAATTATTTTTATGAGAATATGGGGCTTAACTGAAATCTTTTAGGAGCAGCCAATTAATACTACAATTTATGCATTTTATAACCAAAGTCTCAAGAATGGAGATCTTTTGCTCCAAGGCTTTCTTTCCTACCACCTCCTTGTAACCCCAGAACCACTATGTCCCATGTACTCACTCCTGGAACTTGGGGGAGCAGACAATGGCTATTGACTCTGGCAACATCATCTGATAGGAGCAGTGAGTGTGCAGGTCAACACTGGAGAGAAACGCCGTCTGTGTGGGATGAGTCTGAAAAGAGAAAACAAGCCAGAGAACTTGCAGTGAGTACAGACAGCCATGCCTGGTTCACGGAGGAAGGCAGGGACAAGGAGTTTTCAGCATTTGGCCCAACCTTCTTTAAAAGTACAAAACTCTCTGCAATCATGAGAGGTACACTGCATAAGTTCATAAGTATGCTCCTTTCTACCACTGTAAACAACTACTGTTTAACATGAATATGTGAAGAGACTCCTAAGCTTTTTTTAAAAGTTCAAGAGGTTTCTTATATAAAATGGTGACTCTAGTTCAAAACAATGTATTATCTACCTTTAAATTGTAGAAAGTATATTTTAAGTGCCCTTACCACAAAAAAAGATAAAATTTGAGGTAATGCATGTTAATTAGCTTAATTTAGCATTCCACAATTACACATTTCAAAGCACCATATATATGTATACATCATATATAAGTATAAATGACTTTTGTCAATATATTTTTATTTATTTATTTATTTACTTTTTGTGGCACTGGGGATTGAACTTAGGGCCTCATGCTTGCTAGGCAGACACTCTTATCACTTGAGCCACTCTGCCAGCCCTTATATATTTTTATTTTTATAAAAATATATGGTCCCATTATAAAGTCCTAGAAAACAAGGAATAAAAAAAAGAGCTCACAGAAATAAGAGGAATTAAGCAAAATTTGGACATTGGAAGTGTCTGTAGTGAGGAATACAGTGAGAGGAGGGAGAAGAAAGTGACTAAGAAAATAAAGTAACTTGATTATTCTGGTTCTCAATCTCCCTTTCTGAGATGACCAGCTTTCATCTATTGAAAGTAACTTACTTAGGTTTAATTGGCCAGGCAGAATGGCAGCTGAACAGATTGGGGTGGGGGTGTGTTCTCGAGAGTAATGGTGGGGAAATGCCACAAATGTGGTAGGGAGACTCCCATATCAGATATTCCCTCACATACACGGTACCATAATTCTGGGGTATCATGGATGGCCTGATAGGGTGATTTATGTGCAATGGAAAGAAACGCAGCATTAAGCTCAGGCAATGTATGTATGATCCTAGCTCACAGTTATAGACAACATATGAAATGGCCCAGCACATTTCCTTTCATTCACACTTATCTGACCCTTGCAGGAGAGAAGTCCTGGAGGATAAGGCTGGGTGGAGTAAGAGTAAACCTGGGATAAATAAGCCGGGAACTTTCTTGTTCCGGTTTGAAAACAGTGGCGATGTTAGGTAGCCTGAACATTCTTGGGAGATAGGCAGACAAAAAGAGCGGAGTGAATAGAAGGGTGAAAGTTTTCTCTCTGGACTATTCATCAGGGGAATTCTTATCCTGCTCGTTCCTGGGTTGTGGAATTCTCGATGAGAGTGGAGGGCTATAGGCTGTAGAGCTTGGGGAGGGGGTGGGTATCCAAGTAAGGGGCTAATGGGAAACCATTAAATTAGCGGGGCATGAGAGGCGGTAGAGCTCAGGAGCTGATGATGGCAGAAAGTGCTGAAGCACAAAGACTATTGCAGAGTCTGAGAAAAATTGAATTCCAAGGTTGGAATGGACAAGGCAGAAGTCAGTGTCGTGCTGTATTCCAATTAAACTTCTGACATTTCAAAAATTAAGATTCAGATCCCAGGAATCAAGAAAAGGTTTTTCGAGGTTGATATGGATGGGTTAGGGGACTCTTGTGTTGGGCCCTGTGGGGGTGTAGACTGGTAAAGAAATACATTTTGGTCTACCACATCCAGAAATTGGCCAGGAGACCCGCGTCAGGTGCTTAGTGGTTGCTCAGAGCCTTAGAGGTCTCATCCAGGCCTGGGCAGGTATCCCGGGTGGGGTGAGGGAGATAAGCACATGCGCGCAGGGCGTGGATACTGACGTCACAGGCACTGACGGCGGCAAGAGCGGTGTTGGGGGGTATGTAGGTCAGGAGTTGCACCTCATGCGGGACTGGCCTGAAACCTGATGTCACAGGCACTGGGGGCACGGAAATGAAGTGGAGACCTCGGTGCATTGCAGGCGGGACTGGCATTGAGGGAGCTAGGGGTGTGGAGGGGGGAGCAGTGTCTCAGATGTGACAGGTGGGGGGAGAACGGCGTCCCAGGTGTCGCTGGGGAGAAGTCAAGCAAGAGTTCCTCTCTTGGGTGTGGAGACAAGAGGAGCGATAAGTGTGTTCCTCGGGGGAACAGGGATGACGGAGGCTACTGGCAGTGCAAAGATCACAGGGAGAGCGGAGACCCAGAAAAGGAATCTGTGCCTTAGGTCTGGAGACAGTTTGCTGTTTCCTTCTCTGCCTCTTATTCTTGACACAAACACGAAGAATTCAAGGGGTGATATTGGGTTAACCCTGGGATCCACAGAATCAAAGCTGTTAGTGGGGCCATCATGATAGGCATCCATGGACAAGCTAGGTGGGCATCTTCAACAACTATGAATGAGAATGGTCCTGGAAACTTCTTCCAGGAATTTCTCCTTTTTAATCCTTTCTAAGAAGTGTGAGGTTCTCCCTGGATGATTCAGGCTTTGATTTTTCTAGAGTCTTTTAATTTCTATCTGACCACCGAGGTGTATTTGGCTCCTGGTAAGCTCTCTCTATACTATAGTTACCCAGGGCTCGTGAGATGGCTTAAGTGGTAGAGCACCTGCCTAGAGGCCCAGTATTTCAACATGATAGCAGTCAAAGACTCAATATACCAGTTAGATGAATGATTTTTCTTCCCAACATGTAAGAAAAAGTTGTTCCACAGTTAAAATATTATCCAAGGAAGATAAGGGAAGTAGGGGGCTAAATGGATTTTAGCAGCTCATTAAATCATGAAAAAAGCCTGTCTTATTTGGAAGGAGAATAAGGTGTAGAAATTTGAAAGTAATCAGTTAAAATACCATCTAAATGTGCACTCAGTTTTAGTTTGTTACCAATTATTTATTTTGTGTTTTATTAAGCATATTTCTTCCATACAAAATAGACAGGTATAGATGACTTATGTTCATCTTAGAGTAGTTGTGATCACAATCAGACTGGAAAAAGAAAGACCTGATATGATTCAAAAAGGGCATCAACCTTCACTGACAGCAAAACACAAAAAATAAACAAATGCAATCAATTGGGTGAAAGAAGCTGAATATAATGGAAATATTATATACTCATATATGTAAATGGAAAAGTGAGATATGTTGAAAGTATTCCATGAATGGGGGGAGAAGGAGACAGAGAATGATGGAGGGGGTAAATTCAACTATGATATATTGTATGAATTTTTGTAAATGTCACAATGTACCCCCAGTATAACAACAATATAATAAAAAAAGGAAAAAAACCCCAAAAAACAAATGCAACCAACTAGTGTTTTCAAGCCTATTGTGCAAAACTTGAATCTCGTGAAGAGCTTGTCAAAAGCACTGACTCCTACATTCTATCCCTGAAAATATCTATCATGAGAGTAAGCCCTTTTTTAAAGCTCACTAAATGATTCTTATGTGTGGTCTCATCTGAGAAGCACCACTCCACCGAGGGCCATTAGGAACTCACTGGGATGGAAGACGTCTTTAAGGCAGAATGATGTTAGCTGAATGCTGGCAGCAAATCCACACAGGTCCTCAGGTGGCATATAAGAACATCAGTGACCAAAAGAAGAACATAATCCTGATTTTTTGTGTGTGTGAGACTGGGGTTTGAGCTCGGGGCTTTGCATTTGCAAAGCAGGCGCTGAATTTCTTGAACCACATATCCAGTCCAATGATGATAATATCATCCTTTAGGCACCAGGGAGCCATGGCCTGTGCCAACACTGTTCATCCCATAGAGCTTGGGATTCTAACTGGGAGCAAAGTAGGCCTACACAAGATAATATATATACCTAAATTAATATGAAGTTAGATAGTTTGATAGACAGTAAAGAGAAACAGAAGGGCTCAAAAAATAACTGAACCTGAATCAAAAACCCATTCCTTAGTCCCCTGGCCTTTTCTAGCTACTATGACTTCTTTCCTTCCTTCCTTCACAGTCAGGCATCTTTGCGGAGCGCTGATGACTCACATCTGTAATCTTAGCTCCTTGCAAGGCTGAGATGGGGAGGATTAAGGTTCAAGGCCAGCTCAGGCAAACAGTTCAGGGGAACCCATTTCTAAAAATAACCAGAGCAAAATGGACTGGAGTTGTGGCTCAAGCAGTAGTACACCTGCTTCATAAGGATGAAGCCCTGAGTTCAAACCCCAGTTTCACACAAACACACACACACACAATTTTCTTGAAAAAGTTATGTTCACTGTGTCTCCTCTGTTGGGGAGAGAGAAAGGCATTTTCAAGAAGAGAAAACAAAATGCCAAAGGAGCAGAAATGAGCAAGAAAAGTGAACACTGAGGGCAACTTGGGTATCTGGACAGGGGCAGAGCATATAATAAGCAGTGAGTGCTAAGAAAGGCTGAGACAAGAGGAAGTAATCAATAAGCATCCACGCAATGTTTTTGAATGTTGGGAAGCTGATTTATACTTAATAAGATGTGGAAGAAAGAATTGATCTTTTGCACTCTTCTCTTGAAATTTTAAGATGAGTAAACCTTATTGTCTGCTTTTTTTTTTTTAATCCCAAATTAAGAAATGGTGCAGAAATATCAAGGGTGGGAGATGGGTGGAGGGGGAAAGCTGAACGTCTATCAATTTAGGCTCTAAATTTGTTCCTAGTTGGGCACTCACTGATGCTTAAAGGTCTTTATTTATTTATGGCTTACTTCTATCTGAAGTCTAAAGAACAATTATTCCAAACTTTCTACCATCTCCTTTAGTTTCTAAATCCACCTTGGTCTCCCTCTTGTCCAACAGCAGATCTAGGCCCCAACCTTATCTGAAAAGAGTTTTCTTGATTCCTCCAAACATCATTTCAGAAAGATTTCGGTATCTTCATCTCTTTGCCTTCAATCCTGTGTTGGAGAAATAAGTGTTTTCTTCCTTACAGGAAGACGAGCCCCCTTTTGCACTTCTGATTTGGTTCTTCACTATTGTCACATTACCTTGTCTGTCCTGCCCTTTTCCCCCTCCTCCACTGGTTCACTGGGCATAAAAACACATTCAACAACTACATACCAGAATGTGGATAAACCTTCAAGAAACTGAGCAGAAAAAGCAAGACACAAGAAATATATATTGTATATTTCTGTTTACAAAAAGGTCAAAACCAAGCAAAGCTAAATTATACTGTTTAAGAATTCACATTTAGGTGGTAAACTATAAAGAAAGCAAGAAAGGGATGATGAGGTGAAGAGAGGGCTCACCTTTTCCAGGGAGGAAGTGTGAATGAGTAGGAGAAGGCTCTTGGCAGCATCCTATTTCCTCACTTAGGTAGTGTGTGTATATAGATGTTTCCTTAATGATTCATTAAAGTATACATTTAGTTTATGTACTTGCATAAATGTTATATTTCAAAATATAAAGCTTTTGAAAAAATAGAATAAAAACAAAACACATTTCAGCCTTTTCATACTAAATAATCAAGAAAATATTCTATGCCAATAAGCTGCCATCTCCCCTCTCTCCATTCCTCTAGAGCCAAGCTCCTCATTATCATTTCATTATCACTACAACTGCAATCCCCATGACTTCTAAATTCCTAAATTCTATGACCACCTTGGCCTAAAACCCACTAAACTGAGGTACTCAATAACCTCATCAAATCCAACAGGTTGATCCAAGTCTTTGCCATGCTGGAGCTTTCTGCAGCACATGGCACAACTAGTATCCTGAAATTCCTTCTTACGATATCCCTCTTCCTGTGGCTTTTGTGGCCTAACATGACCCTTATTTTCTTACACATCTGTGTTTCACTTTTCACAATGGCTACATTCTCCACTTCCCTTGGTAGCTTGTCTCCCAAGCTGCCAGTGAGTCTCTTCTGTGACTCTCAACTTTCCCCACTTTCAAAGATTTCGAGGTCAGCTCAATGCAAAAGACTCCCAGATCTCTCTCTTGCTTTGAACTTGCTTCTAAGTACCTGCCTCCAACTGCCTGATAACTACCTCCACTGATCTGATACCCCACAAGTACCTCAAATTCAACATGCTCAGAAGTGAACCCCACTTCCAAAGTTAGTCCTTCTTCTGAATCACCTATTTCTAATTAAGAGATGATCAGTGCCACCTCCACGAGCCTGCCCCAAAATCTGAGTCATCATTGACTTATTCATCATCCTCTATTACTCATTCTCTGAATCTTCTGAAATTCTAGATTCATCTCCTCCTTCCCAAAACACTGCCATTACCCTAGTTCTCATCACCATAGATTTTTATCACCACCCTAACCTTAAATGATTTCTCCTGCCTCCACCTACCTTAAAAATGCCTTCATGTTAAAATTTCTAAAGTATGGTTTTGATCATATCATTATTCTGCAAAAAAAAAACCTGTAAGAGTTCTTCACTTACTAAAAAGCAGAATTGTGCTATCTATCCACACAGGACCCTCCAGAGTATGACTCCAATGTATCATGCTAAAACATATCTACCATTCTTTCCTGATGTGAGCCATAAATCCCATGAAACTAGACTGCTCAGTACTCCAGGAACAATCTGCCTATTCCCAATGTTGTCTCCTTCACATGGTACTCTCCCTTGGATCATCTTGTCAAAATTCTCATAAATCATATCAGATATCCCTCTGTTCTCTGAATCCCAGTGTCCTGTTGGTACTTCTTGAGGTTCTTAGCACACTCTACCTCATATGAAGAGTTGTTCGCTGTCTATTTGTGTAATCTCTCTTTTGAGACTAAAATTAGATCTTATGTTAATTTATAGCCCCTAGCAGATAAGGGACAAGTTTTCTGTCCTCCATTTACTATAATGGGTGAGAGTGCTACAAAATAGTAAGCAAGTCAGTAAGTATTTATGTAATTGAACTGAAGAGAGGATGAAGGCCCATGGGCCTGTCTCACAGGTCAGTATTTACCCAAGTTTTGACATATAAGTATGTAATCTTTCCAAATCCAGAAATAAGCCAATTTACCATCTGCAATTCATACATGTGATATAACATGAAAAACAGCTTGGTCTATGAGAGTGAGGAGTTGAAAGCAATAGGAAGAAAAATTAAGAAATAATCTTTAGGGAAGAAATTATATTTACTTGAATATTATCAGAAGTCTGCACAAGATATGCAAACACTTGAAAACTGTATGTTTGGTGGCACTTCTGGTTTACATGAAGACATATACTGCTTAATAAAGACCAGATGCAACCATCTGAATTAACTTCCTTGGCTCATTTAAAATATTTTGATTATATGTACCTTTTAGGAACATTGTTTGTATGCAGTAGAAGTATAGTCTCTATGGCCAACTTCTACATTATTCTAGGCCAGCATCCTATCACCACTTATACTCACAGGAAGCTGGAACTTTAGAGAAACTAGTTTATTTTTATGAAAAAATAAAAAAACAAGTTAAGCAATTAAAAAGTCCTGAGTAGTTCCCAGAAATCAGTACTTGAGTGTAAGCAGTCAAATATGCTGAAAGCTGCCTCCAAAGGAGGGAAAAACAATAAATAATTTGGATATGTTCAAAGAAAAAAGCAAGCAGTGTTCTTACATGAGAGGAGACGAACTGTCAAAGAGCTCAGATTTGCTTACATGAATCCAGCCCAATGTGATGAGAGCCTGCTGATCCTGTATGAGGAAAAGTTCTTCTTCATTCTCTGTGTTGCAATAATCAGCCCCAGCACTTTGCTTGGGGATGAGAACATGCGTAATGGTAAATTCATTCCTCATCTGCCGAAGAAGAAAAACAACTCATCATAATTCCCTGACACTCAAGCAACACCATTCAGTCATAACAGTATAAAATTAAACATCTACATAAGGGAAGGCCTTTCCCATCCAGCATGAGTCTCTTTTGTGCTCCTTAAATCCCTCACCTGAAGTGTTTTACAACCTTGGCTGCTCATGTGCAATTCTGGGGTGCTCTATAAAGTCACAAATGCTGACAACAACCCCAGAACTCCAGAATTCCATCAGATTCACAGCCTGGGTAAATACCACAGACCTAGGGAGATTTCTGGCTATAGCCAAATGGGTCTATGGTTCTTGAGAAGCTCCAAGTAGAGTACCATTTTTCTTCCTTTGCTCTTGTCTAAAACAGTTTCCCTTTCACTGTTTAGTGAAAGGTTCAGGTTAAGTCTATTCATTTCATTCATGTATTCATTCAGCAGTTAGTAATGGGTTGTTTAAGTGCCTCCATTCAATGATCTTTCCTTCCTCAAAATTCCTAGTGCTCATATGGTACATATAATTCAACATGCTATTTATCTTTTGGTGTGACTCTCATTTCTCCAAAGTGATTAAACACCTTTTGTGGACACATACCATGTGCTTTACATATTTTATATTTCCAGGCCCTACCAGGAAGTAGGTGCTCAGAACATGATATGTAGGTAATGACTGGATCCTCCTACTAAGTTTAGAATTAGGTACTTTAAACTACAGCATCAAAATAATCAGTTCAACTCAAGGGACTTTGAAAAGCAACCAAATACAGAGTCATCAAATTCAGAGTGAATACATTATGCAGTTCATGGTTCCTTCCATGGAGGGACTGATGCAGAGTAACTGACCCTGGATATCTTCTCTGAGAGTCACAGGAAGCCAAGGGGGAAGAAACAGTAACAGCCTCATTTCAAGAAAGAGCTTGCTTTTTTTTTTTTTTTTTTTTTTTTTTACCAGTTTTCCACAGAGAATTCCACATGTTTCTACTCCCCGGGTAGTGTTGGCACTGGCTAACTGGAGAAACTGTGGGCACAGCCTCCCAGGTACCACCACATGGCGCAATCCATCAATTGTTGGAACTGTAATGGAGAAGGGGAAAAGTCTGAGACCATGGGGCTCCATCTCTCCAGGCAGACCTCATAGCTGGGAGCCCTGAGAGAGCAATGCTAAGTCATTGGGATTTCCCCCAACTTCAGACAGTGAGACATTCATCTTAATGGCACCAAAAAAAAAGGTCTGTAAAGTCTTCTCCAACCTCTGGCTATAGCTGAATGGGAGCTGTGCTGCTTAACTTTAGGTCTCAGCCTGATTGGGTTAAGGAATACTAGAGAACTAGAAAAGCAGTATTTGTTGGTGTGCCTGTGATGGTGTTTCTGAAGGAAATTGGTACATGGGTCCACGGACTGAGTGAGGAACACCTGCCCTCAATATGGGGAGCAGGCTCCATATAAACATCTGGAGGCCTAGATTCCTCCTCTTTCTACTGGAACTGGCACATTCTTTTTCTTCAGTCGTTAGATATCAGAACAGATTTTTTGGCCTTTGGACTCTGGAACTTCACCAGTGGTATCTTGGGTTCTCAGGCCTTTGGCCTTAAGACTAACACAATCAGGTGCCATGGCTTTGAGGCTTTCAGATGTGGACTGACCATGCTACCAGCATTTCAGGGTCTCCTCCTTGCAGAAACCCTGTGGTGGGACTTCTCAGCCTCTGCAATCATGTGAGCCAATTCCCCTAAGAAATGTGGGCTATCGTGGCCTCCACCTGGACTTCAAAGGATGTTGCAGACAGCCTTGAGGCCCAGGCAGAGACCTGTTACAGGGGACAGAGTGTCATAGAGAGTCCTCTCTCTGGCAATGCCTATTGGAGATAATAGGAGTGAGGCAGCCTCTTAAGACTCTAAAACTATAGGACCATCAGTCCTGGGAAAGTGACCGGCATGAGATTGCACTCCAAGAGAGCTGCTAGGTGGATTGACCCCATTCAGAAAAGGTGCTTCCAGAGGCCTTGGAGGGGTGGGGTGTGTGTGAGGGGAAGGCAATCAAACACATGTCCAGTGTGCCCAGGATTCAGGAATTGGAGTCAAAGGAGATTATTTTCCAGCCTTAAGACTTAACGTCATTTTCCTTGTTGGGTTTTGGACTTACTTGGGACAAGTTACCCTTTCTTCTAGTCTATTTCTCCCTTTTGGAATGGGACTGACTATCCTGTTCTTGACCCATCATTGTGTTTTGGAAGCACAAAGCTTATTAATTTCACAGGTTCACAGGTGGAGAAGGCTGAGTAGTGCCTTGAGTTTTACCTGTATCTGATTTAGATCAAACTGTGGATTTCAAATTGGTGCTCTTGTACTTTAAGAAAAGAATAGCCTTTAATCATTCAATGTCATTCAATATAAGACAAGAGTAAACTGCTATTTACTAGACATCGATCTACCATTTGATCCAGTAATACCACTCTTGGGGATATACCCAAAAGACTGTTACTCCAGAGGCACCTGCACACCCATGTTTATTGCGGCACTATTCACAATAGCCAAGTTATGGAAACAGCCAAGATGCCCCACCACTGACGAATGGAGTAAGAAAATGTGGTATCTACACACAATGGAATTCTATGCAGCCATGAAGAAGAACGAAATGTTATCATTCGCTGGTAAATGGATGGAATTGGAGAACATCATTCTGAGTGAGGTTAGCCTGGCCCAAAAGATCAAAAATCATATGTTCTCCCTCATATGTGGACATTAGATCAAGGGCAAACACAACAATGGGATTGGACTATGAGCACATGATAAAAGCAAGAGCACACAAGAGAGGGGTGAGGATAGGTAAGACACCTAAAAAATTAGCTAGCATTTGCCCTCAACGCAGAGAAACTAAAGCAGATACCTTAAAAGCAACTGAGGCCAATAGGAAAAGGGGAACAGGTACTAGAGAAAAGGTTAGTTCAAGAAGAATTAACCTAGAAGGTAACACCCACGCACAGGAAATCAATGTGAGTCAATGCCCTGAATAGCTATCCTTATCTCAACCAGCAAAAACCCTTGTTCCTTCCTATTATTGCTTATACTCTCTCTACAACAAAATTAGAAATAAGGGCAAAATAGCTTCTGCTGGGTATTGTGGGCGGGGGGAGAGGGAGGGGGCAGAGTGGGTGGTAAGGGAGGGGGTGGGGTAGGGGGGAGAAATGAACCAAGCCTTGTATACACATATGAATAATAAAAGAAAAAGGAAAAAAAAAGTTGCTGAGGTGTTTAGGAATTCTCTGTTAGAATCTAATACATAGAATTGAAAAAATTACCTCCCCATTCAGCTGTTCTTTTTATTTTAGCTCTTTCCTTTATCTCATAAGAATATCAGAGTATGACTTTCAAAGAAACATACCAGGATATATTCTTGACAATGGAAAATGATTTGGGTAGTTATTTACTTCTGAATTTAGTCTTTTTAGAAGAAAGTTTAAATGCCAAAAGAATCCCAAATAACAAAAAAACCCAATCTGATCTTCCATGAAGCCATTAACAAAGCAGCTCATAAAATCTGCCAAGAATGGACCCAATTCCACAACAGAGAGGCCCAGTAATCCAGGGCTAGGAAGCATCTTTTTCAACCATATTATCTTTTTTTTTTTTTAAAAAGTAAAGAAAAGATGTTCTGCTTCTGCACATTTGACAGCAAGATCTGAACTGCCAGAGAAGTAACAAAGTTGGACCAGGAGACACAGTCACATGGCAATCTGATGATGGTATCTAAGGATGATTAATTAAGGTTTGGCACAGTCCTTTCAATTCAATAATCACTTAAAGTACATGTAAGTAAAACCTGTGCTCGGCCCACAGGGAACACAAATATGAATAAGACTCAAGCCCTAATCTACACAAAGTTAAGATCTAGTTATTGACAAATGACTATACTATCAGGTAAATGATCTAAATTGTATTAGAAATAAAAAGAGCTCTGGGAGTTTTACACACAACTGAATCAATCTGATTGAAGGGAGGGGGACTAGAAAAACTTCCAAGAAAAGCAAGGAAGCAGAAACAGAGACAGGAAGGGCTGTGGGTGTGGCTGAAGAGGTACAGTGCTTGTCTAGCAAGCATGAGGCCCTGAGTTCAAACCCTAGTACTGCAAAATAAATAAATAAAAGAAAAAGAAGCAGAGAAAAGAGGGTCTAGGTAAAAGGAAAATGTTAATAAACCTCTACATAAGATAGTCTAGGGACTGTCCTGGGAACATAAATTTAATTTCCTCAGATCATAGAATATGTGGGAAGGAAAAGTAGTGGGAGATAAGCTTGCCACATAAATGGGGGGAAGTTCTAAAGGACAAGCCTCAGAGCCCAGCCCACCTTCCTTTCTTCATTGTATCTGTACACTGATTTTCTCCAAAACTGACTCCTTCAAATGACTGCTTGGAAGTTGATTCCTACCTTCCAAAATTTACTCTAACAATCAAGACATACTCATCATTTTACCTCACAGAGTATTTTCTTGATCACCAATTGTTGATGAGAAGAGGAAAGATTGTCAATGGATGAACTGAGTTATCACACACTATATTTACTTTGACCAAACTCCTTAAAGATTAGGAATGCTTTCAGGGAAAGCACAATTCAGTAGCCTGACTTTTTAATTTTTATTATTTTAAATCAGTCATTGAATTGCACAGCGGTTCTATACAGTTCAAAAGTATTTTTACAAAAAAGCCAATTGTAGTCTTTAATTCACAGAACATTTCAAATCTCTGCAGACCCCTTAAAACTTGAGGGTCTGACTTTCAAAGGTAGTACTAACTCTTCAGAAAATTGACCTGGCTTTAAGTCGATTATATGGTTTAAGCAAAGGCTACTTTTACAAGACAGCCAGTGTGACAGAACACAGTATAGCAGTACTTATCAAATGGGGTTCTGTGGCCAGAGCCTAGTGGGATGACAGGGGCATGCTTAGTCTGAATCCCCAGAATAATACACTGTTTGACTGCAAAAGAGATGGAAAAGGACAGCAATGAACTCACTACTTTCTGAGTAGCTCAGCGCTCCAGGTTTCAAGGACCTGTCCACCACTGGTGGCTTAGCTGGCCTTCCAGTTGTGTTACAGGCTGAAGGCTGTGTGGATGAGGCAGGTGAGGTGGGGACCACATCTAAGGAGGGCTTTTCCAAGTCAGGCACCAGTGGACCATCTAGGCCAGGGTCCACCTTTCCAAACTCTTGTACAATTTTTAGTCGCTCTTTTTCTAGCTCCTGGTTCCTGATCATCTCCTCAAAGGCATGAAACTGTTCCTGTTCCAACTGTTGCTGCTTTTGTTGTGCTACCCTCTGTCTTTCCTTTTCCAACTCTTGCTGGATGGCCATATTCCGGGCAAATTCCTCTGCTTCCTTCTTCTACAAAGAGAGAAAAAGATTTAGACTAACACTTCACACCTCAGAAGAACAAGGTTTTTCAGCAGGCTGATTTCCAAAATGTACTTCTGTTCTGGCTTGATTTCCCAACAAATAATTTAGGCTTCCCTTGATACCTCTCTGCCCATGGAATAAAGTCATCACCCCTTTCTTCTGAGTCACCATGTATCCATCTTCAAGGACAGTTAAGTCCTAGTCCTCTCAGTACCCTCAGTGTCCTAATGCATTTTTTCTTTACTGAAATATTGATACAGTTTAATTGTCTGTACCACAAAACCTATATTATATACAGTTCTATTCTCTAACTGTGCCAATGTATGTATTCTGTAAGGCTATAAAAGTAAAGCTATAAAACAGAACTAAATCCAAACTTACATCTGTTATGTAGAGGGTCTCTGGTGAATTTTAAACCAAAATGAAGCCTCCAAAACTTTTCTGATAATTAGTTCAATACAATGACATTTAAACTAACGAGAAACATTAAACAATAAGCTCCTTCATTAAAAGAAGTTTTCAGGCTGGAGGTATGGCTTAAGTGTTAGAGTGCTTGCCTAGCAAGCACGAGTCCCTAGGTTCAAACCCTAGTATCACCAAAGAAAAGAAAAAAAAAAATATCATGCAACCTAACATATAAAAAGAAAAAAATAATAAAGAAGTTTTCACTCACTTCATTTCTAAAATGTATGCCTCACAGCTGTTTACCCTTCTGCTGATTTTCAACACCAGCGTGTAAAACAGCCCAGCAGATAGCTACACCACGTAAATGCTTGCAGTGTACGGTCTTGTCTGATACAGGACCACTGCAGTATCTTGGCATTTCTCCACATGCTTTAACTGATTCTTCCAACAAAATTCTTTCAAACATAGCTAGAAAAATCAATTACTACAAACAGTTTTGAGTGTAATCAAATGTGACTTAAACCTCTAAAATCTATGATCCAAAAAATCTGTTTTGGTCAGGGGAGAGGAGATAAAGGAGAATGATAGAGGGGTGAATTCAACTATGATATACTGTAAGAACTTTTGTAAAAGCCACAATGTGTCCCGAGCACAACAATAAAAATTTTTAAAAATCTGTTTTGGTCAGAATTTATGTTATTCTTAAGGTTCTTGCTCTAGATATAGCAGACAGGCAATAGCTTTTGTGTCCCTAAAGTTACCCTCTTGGACAGTAAGCTAAATCTGTGTTAGAATCCCCAGCTTAACCACTGAGGTGTTCCACTTTTTTGAGTTACTGGCTTCCCACAAGTGAACTGTCCCATTAAAATTATAGAACCTTTTGAAATAGCATGTAAGTTCCTTTTCTTTCTGGGCTGTCATATACTGACCTTTTCTTCATTATATTGTGCATATTCTTTCGTATATCGTTTCAACAGTTCTGCCTTCAATTCTTCTGCTTTTGGAAATGCAATCTCCTTTAATTTCTGAGATACAAAATGGGAACTGAGAATCAGAAAAATTCTTGTTTTTTGCAGTACTGGAGTATTTGAACTCAGGGTATCGCACTTGCTAGGCACCCATCCAGCCCATTTGCTTTAGGTTATTTTTCAGGTAGGGTCTTGCATTTTGCTCAGGGCTGGACTTGGACCACAATCTTCCTACCTATGCCTTCCACATAGCTGGGATGACAGGTGTGTATCACCATACCCAGCTTATTGGTTGAGATGGGGTCTTGCAAACTTTTTGCCTGGGCTAGGCTTGAACCACAATCCTCTCAATCTCTGCCTCCTAAGTAGCTGGGATTATAGGCATGAGCCACCATGCCTGGATAAATTAGGACAATTCTAATGTCTCTAAGTAAGTAGAGAAAAAGAAGACTTAGGTCAAGTTGACACTGTCAGTGTTTAAAAAGTGACTTGAGGGGCTGGCTGAGTGGGTCAGGTGGTAAAGGGCCTGCCTAGGAAGCACAAGGCCCTGAGTTCAACCCCCAATACCACCTGATGATGATTCATACCTATAATCCCAGCTACTTGGTAGGCAGAAATTGGAAGGATCATGGTTTGAGACCAGCCTGGAAAAACAAGTTAGTGAGACCCCCATCTCAATTAAGAAGCCAGAGGTGTTAGCAAGTGCCTGTCATCCCAACTACTCAGGAGATCAAAGGTAGGACTATAGTCGGAGGCTGTCCCCAGGAAAAAAAGCAAGATCATACTTGAAAAATAACTAGAGCAAAAAAGGCTGGGGAAATGGTTCAAGGGACAAAGAGCAAGACCCTGAGTGAAACCCCAGTATGAGTACATACACACATACACACAAACAAACCCCAATAAAAGTTTTGAAATACTTGCTACCCTGCCATTCCTGTGACTTTATAACTACTCTAGAAAGACAGAAAAATGACCTTAGTTCCTATGACAGGACTTGATGCTCAGCCACAGAAACTAATACTTTTATCTTAAAGTCAGTCTGTGCTGCTCTGAAGCTTTTAGATGGGCAAAAAGGAAAATGAAGACCCACCTTCACTGTGTCTTTCTTTTCAGGAATGGCAGCTGATTTATAATCTCGATGCTTTGGCAGTTTCTCAATGAAGAGCCTACGGAACAGATTAGAGAGATTAATGATGCAGAGCAAATGCCCAAACGTCCATGAGACCCTGAGCAATGCACATTCTTTACCCTGTGGCCACTGCATGAGGGTTTCCAGAAGTACAGGGGAGGAAGAGCAGGTACACTCAGACAGGCCGTGTTCCCTACCATCCCCATCCTTGGAAAGAGCAGAAAGCCTTGTCCTCTTCTCCAGGTGTATGGCAGTAAGCATCAGACAATTACACCAAAGAGCCAAACAAGTAAAATATTGAAATAATCAAAAACAGAAACAAAGCCTGTCCTGTGCCCAAAGTGCACCTCCAAAGAAAGAGATTCTTTTACAGGCTTTCAAAGGAAAGGTCTTGGGCTGGTGAAGTAGCTCAAGTGGTAAAGCACCTATTTAGTAAGCATAAGGTCCTGAATTGAAACCCCAGTAGAGCACTCCCCCAAAAAAGAAAGGTCCTCCTGTCAATAAAGTGTTCTTCAAAGGAAAGTGACAATCAGGGGCAAAACAGACATGACTTTCTTGTCTATTTCTTATGATCTTTACCTTGGCAGTTTTTCTTTGAGATTCATGTTCTTTCAAAGAAAAACATTCCTTTGCATCATACCAAGCATGGACATGCTTAGATAGTGCATGTGATACAGTTACAGGCATGTATTATGTGCATAACATATGTATTGCATGCATTATGATCTTTGATGAAAGTGCTTAAATATCAGATGTTAGATTTTCTTTCAGTTATTGTCCTTGGCTAGAAAGCTTAGTAGGGGAAATAAACTGCATCAATTCACAGATCTCTAGGATTTATGACATCTACTTAAGGACAGTGAAAATAATCAGAAGTCTACTAACTTGTCACAGCCAGAAAGTGGCAGAGTCAGGATTTCAATACTACTGTGACACCTTCAGGATCCACTCTTTTAAACACTACACCATCCCTCCTCCACAAGGCTCCTGAAATGTCTGGAACTGTTAGAGGGGTTCTGAACAAAGATGTTTTTCAATAGAATTAAGTTGTAATACATAGAAACTAAGATATGAAACAAATAAGCTGAGGGTAGCTTGCACACAACTCTAAGTACTGTACTGTAGTTGAGATAAATTTTCTTTTCTACTTTCTGCCACGAGGGAGGAATATGTGGAGGAGAAAGCCTCAGTCAGGGAAAAGAAGATAACCCTACCCAAACAAACCCTTTGTAGATTAGACTTCTTCCTCAGTTCTGGATTAGGAACATGAAAATTTCATTTCAATCCAACTTGACTTGGCTTCTTAGGCAGGGATGAATTCTAAAATCAGAATGGTTCTAAGTCTTTCCTTCATAAAAAAGATAGTCTATATTGAAAACAAGTACAGAGTCATTTGTTCAAACTTTAAAATACTGAAGAGGATATTAAGATAAATAAGACATAGTTCTTAAGATAGTTCTTTTTAAAAATTTTTCTTAATATTTAAAAAGCATAAATTGGTAAGAAAAAAATAGTTTAAAATAGTTTAAGAATATGACAAAAACAGAAAACACACTAACTTCATTAATATCAGAAAAATGCATGTTAAAATAGCATATCGCTTTTCACCTATTACAATGGTAAAAATAAAATGTAATACCCAGTCCAGGCAAGGGTGTTGCCACTTTCATATACTGCTTGAAAGAAGGAGCAAATTAGCAATATGTATCAATATTCTGTATGTTATATCCTTTGTAATTCCACTGTCAAAATGTCAGTCTCCTAAGAAAATAACCACAGATGTGACCAAAGAGTGACAAGAATCTTCATCAATAGCATTTACAAGAAAAAATAAAAAATGACTATGTCAGGTCATATGGGAGGAGTAAAATAAATCATGATTATTTTTATGATGGGATGTTATTACTTCATTAAATGTCTATAAGGCTGTTTAATGATGATAATGTAATTCTAAGTAAAACTTCACTAAATGCTTCTCCCAGTGATATCATAATGTTAAATTAAAGGATATAATTCAAACAATTCCCTCCCCTATTCCCAGAATGCCCTTCTCTGCTCCAGGCCATCCTCCCACCCTACCCCTAAGGCACTTCTCCAAAGTTCTGACCTATTCCCCACCTTGCCCCTTTCTTGTTGCTGGACTTCCTTGATTCAAACGCTTCTCTGATTATCAGACCTTGGGGTAGATAGAAGACATTTTTATACTGCCTTAATCTTAAAGGACAGTTTTTCCCCAATATTCAGTACATCTTTCTGCTGCTCAAACCAGTTCAAGTGGTAGGGTAACTACCTGGCAAGCATGGGGCCCTGAGATCAAACCCCAGTATTGCCAAAAAAAAAAAAAAAGAAAAAAGAAACACAGGAAGTATGGAAGTATACACAGAAACTAATAAAAATAGAAGGTAGGGAAGACAGAGTGGATGAGATAAGAGTGGAAACGAAACTTTTCATCATCCACTTTTTGTTATTTGTCACTTTCTGCAATGGAAGCTAGTTTATAAATAAAGATAAACCCCCCAGTCTTGTACACAAATATCTTTCCCTTGTTCTAGTTATCATTATCAATTTTCTGAATGGGGACTTATGGGCAGAAAGGTCCTTTGAAAACGGACAAAGGGCAACATAATCCATTCCTCTTATTGGAGGTTACAGCATTTAGCAATTAGGAAAGGACCTCTGGAGCTACTTTGCCTATACTCAGATCCTAGCTTTGCCATTTACTACCTGTGTGGCCTTGGGCTATCAGCTGTGTGACCTTGGATAAGTCACTTAATTTCCCCATCTCTTAGTTTCTTTATACATGAAAATTATATAGATGGAGACAAACTAGTATTCCCTGACAGGGCTGCTGTTACACAAGGAAATAATAAAAATAAGGTGCTGAGCACAGTGCCTAAGACAAAGCCAACATCTGCTATGTGCTTATGTGATTATTTTTGTTAGTACACAAAGAAAGAAATGTGAACAAGAATGAGCATGAAGGTAACACCAGAGCTAGGAACTTTCTAGGCATAGAATAGCAGTGGCCCAGATGTATATTGTTCTCTGGGGTGATATCTGGTTGCAGCCTAGAGAGAGGAAATGTACCAAAGCAAATATGCATACAAGCAAGACAACAGAAGAGAACAAGGGAAAAGGAAAAGATAAATGGCAAAGTAAATACAAAAGGTGAATAAATAACATGAAATGGTGTTCAACTTCATGTATAATAAAAGAAATTAAAATTAAGATAAGATAATATTTTCATCCATTAGATTGGCAAGACTTAAAGACTAATTATCCCTTATCTAAGTAAGGGTATAGGGAAATGGGAATCCACATAGAATGTTAGTAAGATCATAAATTCTCACAACCTTTTTTCTTAAGGGAGGGAAAGGACAGAAGACAATTATTCAAGATTTAAAAGGTGTGTATCCTTTAAACTCACTTTCTAGAATCATAATTTAAAATGTATATATCCTTTAAGCTCATTCTCTAGGAACTTATCCTAGAGACTGTCACATAATTTTTTTTGTTGTCTTTTTCTGAGACTGTCATACAATAGTACAAATATATACATACAAGAATATTGAATATAGACTTGTTAACAAAAGCAGGGAAAACAAAATAAAAAGCTAACTGCCCACTGATATAGGACAATTTAATAAATTATGGTATATCCAATGTGAAAACAATGTAAGCATTCAGTCATCCATTTAAAAAATATCTATTGGGCATTTCCTTTGATGTTAAGCATTATTCTAAAGGTTGGGGATATGGTAGTAAATGATCTAGTCATTTTTTTTCCCACTATAAAATGTATGTTACAGTGGTGAACAGACAATAAACAATACACAAGACAAAAGGTATATCATAGCCAGGTGCAGTGCCTCAAGACTATAATCCTACCTACTAAGGAGTCAGAGATTGGGAGGATCAAAATTTGAGGTCAGCCCTGGTAAAAAGTTAATGAGATCCCATCTCAACCAATGGCTGAGCTTGGTAGTACATGCTTGTCAATCCAGCTACCTGGGGAAGTGCACAAATAGGAGGATCACAGTCCAGGTCAGTCTGGCATAAAGTGAGACCCTATCTCACAAATAACCAATGTAAAAAAAGGATGATGGGGAAGGAAGGGGGAAAAAAGGATGATAGAGTGGTAGAGTGCCTGCCTAGCAAGTACAAAGCCCTGAGTTCAACCTTCAATATCACACACACACACACACACACACACACACACACACACACACACACTATATATATATATATATATATATAAATAAAAGCAATGCTAGGGAAGTCATTATTAACAGGGAAGGGGATCAGACAGTGATAGCAGAGGGATGAAATTTTAGATATAGCAGCTAAGGAAGAAGGTGGCATTTGAGCAAGGACCAGAGGGAGTGAGCTATGAGGAGATCTGAGTAAGACTCTTCCAAGCAGAAGGAATAGCCCTGAAAGAGACAGCTCCATATGTCCTCATATGGAAAGATATTACTGTTAAGAAAGTACGTTACAGAACAGAGTAGATCAGAGTATGTTCTCACTCACCCCTCAAGGAAAAAAGGCGACACATGTGAGTTCTTTTGTGCTTACAACATACACAGACATTATCTTGCACACACAAGAAACATAACTGGTTACCTCTGGTAGATGGAACTTTTCTTTTCACTTTATTATCTCCCTAACAGTATCTTGAAAAATTTTTTTTATCATGAACAAGTGTTAATTTGTATGAAAACAACACATTCAAAAAGTTAAGCAGGAATTCTACAACATGGGTATATTAAGGACTCTCATCTCTTTTCTTCCAGTCTTAAAAGTTAACCAGCAAAGCAAGTATGATCACAGGGGAACCCTTCTTCAGTCTATAAATTCCAATCCTGGTAAACATTTTCAACACAGGTGATATCTCATTTTCAGAATGAGGACTTGTGTTACAGAAGGTTCATACAGGACACAGGAACTGCCTGAATACTCCAAGTCCCTTCTGTGTAGCCTAGCTGATGACCATAAAAAGCTGTGAAAGAATCCACTGCCTGGTTTATTGTCTGTGCT